GCAGTGGCTCGCGGTAGGGATGTTTCCCGCATCGCCCGGCCGCAAATTCCCAATAGTGCTACACGCTACGCACAGCCCGGGCGGGTGACGTCACGGTGTCGTCACTCGCGTCCGGGGCATGCGCATGGGGGCCCGCTCGGCTCTGGAGGCGCCGGCGGCAGGCGGCTCAGAGATCTGCACGACCGATGGGAGCGGGTTCCGAGATGTGCACGGCCGATGGGAGGGCTCGAAGACCACTGCTCTGATGCCTAGTCAACTATACACTGCGAACGATTTATCGGGTATATCCGACGCAAGGGAAGTTGCGGCGAAAGAACCTGAGGCAGTTGCGTCATGCAGCATTATGGTAAACGAAATGTGCTCTGCTCGTGCGAGGGTTTAGAGTTGTGGCTTGGTGGAACAGATTCCTGTGCCCATCGCCACTTGCTAGTAGTCTGAAGCTGTTCAGAGTAGTTGAGGTAGAAGAACAGTAAATCTCAAGCCAGTTTCTGAACTCTTCTCGGGTTTTGACGTCCTACATCTCAAAGTCAAGGTTGAGGTATCATCTTTGCAGTTCACGTCGCGGTCGATGTTTGAAAAGCCGGAAGATTCAAATTTTTCCGAGAAAAAAAGACATCCTTTTCCATCTTGCACCACAGGTACAGAAACAACACCACCCACAAATCCAACACAAATTACAGTCTAATAGGTGTAACACCAACACGGCCTTCAAATCCAACATCCAGCGACCAGCGCACTCAGCCAAGGCCATCAATCAAGGCCGCATATCAAGGCCGTAATTCTATTTACCATTACCCTGGTAATAGGCCCTTGAATTCGCGCCTTAGGTCCGCGTGATTCGTGCATAAGACTCGTATATTGTCGTCATAGACTTTCCTTAACCTGTATCTGAACTAGCGAATAGATCCCCACCTCGTCTGACTATTGGCTGATGGATGTGACGTCACATAACCCCCAGGCCAATGAGCGTGGGCGTCAGGTTATGACGTCATCTCCCGCGAAAACCAGCCAGTCAGCGCTGGAGGTGCGTAGCGTGTAGCATGATTGGGAATCGCCCGGCCGCCCGCCGCGTCGGGCTCAATGGGGCGCGGCGGGGCTTTGTGAGGCGGTGGGGCTCCGTCAATGGGCTGTGGCTCTGTAGAGACCTGGTGCGCCCCGCCGTATGTATCGGTGTAAGGTTCCTTGGCGGTAGCGAGTGGCCGTATTGGGCGTTGTATGTAGAAGATGCTGTTTGGGCGGCGTGGGCGCCGTGCGCCAGACGCAGGGACCATTCATAATTCAATGTGGGCTCTCCTAATGGCCTTACGTTTGCAATCTTCAAATATAATTAGCAATTGAATTGTTCGCGTCATTCAGCGCTGCGTGTGCCGATCACGTGCCAAATTTGGCCTCGGTGAGGAGAGGAGAGAACAATGCCGCGCGGTGGACTGTGGGCGGCACTGTGGGCACGCGCTTCTGAATCAGGTGATTCGATTAAATCTGTCGGCTTTCTCCGCCGCCCTCGGCCGGCATGGGGCCTCCTCGTCCGTGGGAGAGTGTGAACGCTGAACAGCAATATCTCAGTCCGGCGCTGGGCCGCGGTGTGTCCGGTGCGGCGGTCTGCCGTCCGTCCCCCGCCGTCCGGTCCGCCCCGCCCTCCATCGGCCGCTCCCACCCGGGTTCCTACTGGAACCGGGTCGCCGGAACCGCCCCGCCCCGAATCTCGGCCCACCGCGCCACTATCGCCTCGTTAATCAGCCGCGCGACGATCGCGACGCGGCGCGCTGAGTACACACGCGGCGTGCGCCGCTAACGGTCGCCGTTTTTGTGGACGACCGGCGGCTCGTTTGGCCGCAACTAAGTGGAGGAAGCCGGCGGTGGGACGTAAAAACGACGTGACGGCTGACCTCACTAACCGGGTCTGACCGACGGGTACTACCGCCGGCCACCGGGCCTGGCTGGGCCACTGGGATATGGTTCACCTATAGGGTATCGATCGAGCTAGACCCTCAGCTGGACCGAGGCATGGATCACAGAGAAGCGATACAGGCGTGCTTTGATTTACCGCTGATGACCTTCGTCCGACGTCACATGCGGTTCATCCGTCTTTTATTGGTGTTTTAAGCGAGATGTTTGTGCTCGTTGTTTGATGGGTGCTACGACAGCAACCCAGCACTTACTGCTGAGTGCTGGATCATTGATACCTGTTCGGTGAGTCGCCCTGCAACCACCGTCCAGCTACATCACCTGTTGGCCGCCCGGTGGCTGCCGGTCCTCTGCCATCTGCCGGCCCTGGCAAGTGATACCCAGACGGTCCTCCGGCGCCCTGTCCCGCCCGGTGGCCGCCCGGTCCTCTATCTCTTCTACCGGCACATCCCGCGTGATACGCAGACGGACGGCCCGCGAGTGACCGGTCGCTGTCCGGTCGTGCTGTCTTCTGTGCCCGTCGCTCCGCCGCCATCCTGTCCCGCTCGGCCGTTATACTCCTGCTCGGGGCTGTAGGACGGACGGACGGGCGGGCGGATGGGCATCTGTCCTCGATGACAGGCTGCGGTGCGTGACGGGATTGTAACACGACATCGGACCACTGCGCCTCCCTGGCGGGCGCGCCACCGGCTGATGGAACTGGAGTCTCAGCCGAGGCCGAGCTGGGAGACGAAACGGATGGGGACGGCGATCGGGACGGACAGAACCAGGGATCGAGACGGATGGGGAGAACGGATTGGGATGGCCAGTGGTCACCCAAAGAGCAAACACCAAGAGTCCGTGATTAAACGGACCAATCGGGAGAGGCAACCACGAAATATTTGTTATTGCTATGATGAGTTTAGGAGGACGGCTTTGTATGCAGACGGAAAGTAACGTCAAACCTGGATGCGATCGTAAGATATATTGATGCGCCTAAAGATGGGAGATTAAAAATCGATATGGCACGCTGTTTACGTACAGGGGAGTGGCTACCACAGATTGTTTGGCTTGTTTCAGCGCATGTGGGATTCAAGAATGCGGGAGCTGATGCCGTGTATGTCGCTTGGATGCGTGGTTGTAATTACAGAGTATTCGAAAAATGTCTCCTGGGTTCCATCGATCAAATGTTTTGTCAGAGTCGGGCTCGTTAGGGAACGAGAGGAATTTAGGGCAGGCGATCTTCATGTACATGAGACTGGCCTGTTGGTATCGCGTGACGCACGAACTCCAGCTCATGTTCAGTTTCATTCCGGATTTCATTTCACTTTGGCGTGTCTGTGTGCCTGTCGGCATGAAATCACTGTCAAAAATTATAAAAGCATAAACGGATAAGTTCCTTGGGCAGAATATGAAAATTGGACGTCCGACGTCCGAGTTTGTGTTTTGACGGGCATTTTTCAGCGTTTTCGCTTATTTTTGTATGCTGATTGCTGTGATCAGGGTATATTGCTGTGATATCCATTTGCACGAGTAGCATTCTCATAGCGATTTAGGTACTCGCATGACTCACGCATCACTGGTGGATCCACAAATAACGTCTACTGCTACCTTCATAGGTACTGATGTTAGATAATTCAGTGTCGGGCGGACGACGGGACGTTTCCGCCGTCTGGATTTACGATACGTCCGCTGGCGATTTACGCCACATTCGGAGAATGTGACGGCGGCGGTCCGACTGAGGCGAGGCCGGTCTCCTCTATTACGTTCTACGACCGCAGCTCAGTCGCGGACACAGTCCCGGCGTCTCAGTCTCAGTCCCTGAGCGACCAGAGTCGATCTGTCAGAGCTCGCCGGTCACGTGCCCGCGCCCCGGATCGGAGCGATCGGATCCGGCGGCGGTGAGCGGCGCTGTCGCCGCCAATTTGTCGTCGGACGGACGGACGATGATGTGAGCATGATGTCAGCGTAATCCGACCGGAGCGGCGGCCCGCGCTACTGGACCACGCCGCGGCGGCCTCGCAGCGCCTGTCGGGTCTGCCGGACCACGCCGCGCCGGTCCCACTGTCTGCCGAGGCTCTGCTGGGATTTCTGGGGCTGGTATGCACCATGCACACTGCATGGTCGGCCTGTCCGGGCAGGCCCAGTTCCGCCGGGGTGTGATGGTCATGACCGGGACAGCCCCAGCCTCGGCCTCCAACCGGTCCCTAAACAGGCGGCGCTAATGTCTTACACTGGTCTGGCTGGTCCTACGGGATGTTTGCTGAGTCAGTGTCCTGATTAGATGCGGCCGGACGACTTGGAACAATGACCCGTGGATACCATCTCAGTGGTGGGACTAAGTGCTATGGCCTGTCTTCACCGATCTGTTCTATCCACTGTCTACATAACAACACTCATAAGAAGCTCCGGAAGGTCATTTTGACTGGGCGAGTAACCGCTAAGGTCATCTTTGCGTCGTGTGGCCTTTCAGCGTTTGGTCATTGTCGCCTGTCGCGGGTCGGAGCTGCTTCCCCGAGCGGTCGTGACCTACCGTCACTCACCGTACAATGCCACAGGACTGGTCACCGTCACCGGATGTATTTCAACCTTAACACAATGGCCGGCACGGGACAATGGAGCGCCGCAGTTCCCACGTGAATACCGCACCCGTTCTCGGTGGAGTAGCTGGAGTGACCGCACGCTGCAGCGGGGACCGTCGAGCGTATACCCAGGCTGACCACCGTCTCTGGCCGCGACCCCGGCCTCCCCGACGCCCAGCTCCGCTCGGCGCAGTGAGGAATGTCGGCTGCCGTGTCGAGCCGTCACGCTGGAGTGGCGCCGCCGGCGCTCCCAGCCAGTCACGGCAGCGGCGCCCGTAAAAACGGTCCGCGCGTACCTGCAGCTCGCCGCGTAAATACCGTTGCGTGTCCGTGTGCTTTCTTGGCGCACTCGGCCCGGCGCTAATGCTGATGAGGCGTGATATGGCTTTTCGTTTGTTTCTTTGTGCGATGGAATGGCATGCAGCGGTTGGTGTGTTTTGGCCGTGAGCTGTTATGTTTGCGTGTACGCTGGTGTGAGCCTTCTTGTCTCTGTCATTTCTCTGCGGTATTAACCTGTCTCTTCTGTTTTTTCAGGACGGGTGCGTACCTGCAGGAGTCGTCTCCGTCCCGGGTGTTTGCCATGGTTGGCTACTTTCTCTCCATCCCAGTGTTCCTCACGGGTGAGTATGTATGTGGGACGTATTACTTAGCAATAACCACAGAGTACTCTGCTCCCAGTGTTCCTCGGTGAGTAGAGTGACCACACCCAGTGGTATAGCCACAGAGGGCTCTCTACTCCCAGTGTTCCTCACGGGTGAGTTCTTGCCTTGGGATGTAACTGCTGGTAGCCGTAGAGTGCTCTCTGCTCCGGCGTCTCTGCTGAACAGAGACTAATGGTGATAGATATGTGGAACACGTAGCGCCATCAGCACAAAACTTACGCGATCTCAATAAAACGCCAGCGCACATCAGACGCCTTCAGCTCGTCATCGTTGATTAATGACCGTTTTATATGTCCCGTCACTAGTCCCCGCGTCTGCTGACTCGCGGCTGCCCTGCGCGCTGTCCGAGTCGGGTGCGTGCCACCGCTGACCGCGTACCGCCTCTGTTTTCAGGTGTTGTTTTGTACACGTTTCTTCACTTTCACTCGACGTCGGCGATCACGACGAGCGTGTTCCTCGGCCTGGGTATTCTGTTCTGCGGCGGCGCCACCGCCCACAATATCGCCGTCTGGCACCGGGTAAGATATCTGGCTGACTGTCCGTGTCTATCTGACTGCATAGCTGACTACCTGCTTACCTGACTATCTGGCTATGCGACTACATAGCTGACTGACTATCTGACTACAATGCCGAATACCTGCTTACCCAACCGATCGGCCCAGGAGCGAGGGCGGTGGCGTGACCCGTCTTATCATCTGCAATTGAACGAGACTTATTAACCGTTGGTAATGTCCAATGACCCGTGAGGTAGTGACTCATGACCTAGTGATCACTGACCCGTGCGCTGTTGACCCGTGACCCATGGGGCTGGTGACTGGCGACCCGGCTAACCTAGTCAGCGAAAATTAAAATAGTTTACATGTATGTACTTTATCAAACTACCAGGAACCACATGCCTGACAACCGGGCCCCCAGCTCATTCCTTTCCTTCCCCTGCTGACTTCCTTTGCTGGCGGCGGCTTCTGCGGCTTTAGATGGGCGCTGAGTGACCTGAGGGCCCTTTTAGCGGCCTCTGCGCTGCAGAAGGCAGGCGGGCCCTTTTGAGAATCGGACAGGGGAATTTCTCGGTTCCTTTATGGACCGCCGACACGGCACGTAGCGCCGCCGTGGCTGCCATTTCTTAACCCTTTCCGAGAGGAGTAATCCGAGGAATCGTTTTCCCGGTACTGTGGCTATTGGTGGCTGCTCTGACCGCTAATAGGCCGCGTTTTGAGTCGATCTCGGCTCTGTCAGCGGTCGTGGGGCGGGTGTCTGCCGTCGCTCCCAGTAAGGCGCGGTGTCGGCGGCGCGTGCGGCCGGTAGCGCCGGGGGCTCCTCCTCTGTCTCCCGTCCGACCAGTACAAAGCGGAATCGATCACCGGCCGACGGCCGCGGGTGTTGGCCGCGGTACTAACGCCGTGTTCGCGGCGCAGTCGCTCACCGATAAGGCTGGCGCGGCGGTGGGCGGGCCGGCCACCCACCGACCGGCTCTGCTGTGTCTGACGGCCGTCGGTAAATACTTGCGATTGAGCAATGTGGAAATCTGGACACTCATCCGATGTGGTCTGTCTAGATAAGGATCGCGGTGGCATTTAAATATCACATTCCCCTGCATTCAGTGGAGCGCTTGAGGCGCGGCCGGCACCCCCATTCCCAGTGTATTTACCGACATGCATGGCTCCCTCCGTAATTGGTGCCGGCGAACGGTCCGCAGTCCGCCGGTCTTTGTTACATCCCTGGAAGCGTCTAATCGGGCCTGTTCACGGCGCCCCCGGGTCCCGTGAGCGCCGGCCACGCTAGAGGCCGCGGTTCGGCTGCATCTGGGTCAGCCGGCGGCTATTACAGCGCTGCACCGCGCCGCGACCCGGGGAACCGGCGCGCGGTCCGTCTATGGGAGAGGAGGGCCGGCAGCAGGGACACGGCGCGCCCGTGTAACGGTGCCGGTGGAAGGTGCTCGTCCCGCCCTGACCGTCTGGGGTTAGCTCAGACGGTTCACCCATTGCCGCACCCCAGACTCCCTGCAGACTGCCCGGCCGCCCCGCCCTGTCAGCATCCCTGCAGTTCCGCTGACCAACTGAGGCCCGCCTGCCCTCCGCCGACCTCGCTGCACCATGACCCACTGGCGCCGCCCCTCTGGCCCGCTGACCCGCCGTACTCCGGACATCTTCTGACCCTCTGACCCGTCCATCTGACCCGTCGTATTCTGCCCCTCTGACCCTCTAGCCTGCTCGTCTGCCGCCCTTCTGATCCTCTAACCTGCCTGTCTGCTGCCACACTTTTAACCCGCCCGTTCTAACCCTCTGACCCACCGTCTGGCCGGCCGTCTGTCGCCTCTCTGACACCCGTCCCTCTCTGCCCGCAGGTGAAACATAATCGCCTGGCCCGACAGCGAGCCGTGCACCTGAAGGCGTCGACGCCGTCTCGCGCGGAGCCCGTGTACGGGTGCCGCGACCCGGGCTCGCCGGGGATGCCGGCAGCCACGCTGGACCTCAGCCGGCAGCTGGCCAACATCTCAAACATCCACGAACTCTCCACGCTGGTCTGACGGACGTGCGCGCGCGCCGAGAGACGGCCAGGACGTGACGTGGACGTGAGGCGGCTCAGAGAGGCCGAGCAGAGTTCAAAGTGAGCGGCGCGGGTGCCAGTGACGGCGGACAGCGCCGGGACGTCCGCGCTGTGAGACGGGACCAGTGCAGCGCGGCGAGTGGAGACAGGTCGAGCCGAGTCGACCGCGAGTGTTCGTCGCCTGATGTGGAGCTCAACAGGCCGGTCGGCCCCGTGCCGAGCGGTGCTGATGGGGAGGTCGGCCGCGCGCCGACCGACAATCTAGTCCGAGTGTTTACTGCCGAGTCGCACCGCGCCGTCAGTTTTCCTGAGCGGCGCGTCGCGGCCTGTCGCTACTGTTGTACAATCGTTGTGTCGGGGTACAAGTGTTAGATTTGTATGCTATTCGAATACACCCCGTGTTAGTGTTTGTCCCCGAGTTTGGGTTTCGCTCGGGCTGGTGTCCACTAGTCGGGTCCTCACGTGGTGCGCGCCGCCCACCGGCTCGGTGTATCGTCAAGGACGCCAGGGTCATCTCCGAGATACGGACAGCTCAGCACACATCCCTCGCTCACGGCGGCCGGCGAGACCTTCGGGACAAGTACTGAGTGCCGAGTGCCGGAACCTTCAGCGTCGAGTGCCGCCGCCAGCCGCGGGAGGTGGCCGTCTCGCCGTCCACTGCGGACGCCGCGTCCGGCCCGTCCGAACACCGGACGCCGCCCGAGAGGCGTCCGCCGCAGCGGGTCGGCGGCCGGCGCCGACCGCACCTTGCAGCTCTGGGAGGAACGAACTGGCCCGCGGCCCGCTAGGCTAGCCGGGCCGGCCAATTAATCGGCCGCTGCAGAGTGCAGGCGCTCGTACTGCCGCGGCCCGCGGCGCGACGCCGAGCGAGCGGCAGAGGCGGTGCCAGAACCGTTAGTGCAGAGTGCAGCGCCGACAGTCGGCGCCCTCCCCGCCCACCTAGCTGTCCGGGACGCGGGTCACCTCAGACTCGGACCGACCGTCCCGTGCCGCCGCCGGGCCAGTGAACGAGCAGCGTGCGTCCGAGCCGCACTTAGTACTAATGACCGCCGCCGGACGTGAGCTAATTGCTGCCACTCTGGCGCCACTGGAGTGCGCGTGTGCTGCCAGCACAGCACGCTCCCGTCACAGCACAGCACGCACAGCGCGAGCCCGATAACACAGACGTCGGGGGATGACACGCACTCCACGCCACTATTATAGGGGGCGGGTGGCACCGTTTAACGCCTGATGGATTATCAGATGTGACAGGACTCAGTGCGGTGCTGGTAGCTCGAACTCGAAAGCGTGTCCACTCCACTTAACACTGTCAGTTGCCGACACACTATACGCATTGATCCTAACGATTGTCCTGATATGCAATCTTCCTATTCAGCCGACCGACCCTCTCTTCGACATCGAGCCATCTCGTCCTAATCTGCTGATTATTATGCCCTTAATGTGGATCCAGTCCTTGTGGAGGATGGGCCCCAGAATAGGGTGGGCGACCACAACACGACACCATCTGGCTCTGTCGGTCACGTGATCCGTTCTGAAGACGACTCGGGCACGTGTGCCTTGGTCACGTGCTCTCCGGTGGTGCCCGTTCAGACACGTTGAGCGGTATGAGTCCACGGTATGAGCCGGGCCATCCGCCACAGATGGGATCGGTACAAAGAGGGTTACGGGGATAACACTGGCTCGAGGTGCGAATAACACCGGCCGTCACCGCAGAGGAATGTCTCTGCGGACGGCGGAGAGACGAGAGACGAGGCGGTCCCGGCGTCGGGCTCTCCCGGCGGAGCCAGGTAATCCTGGATCAGTTCGAGGCCCCAGTTCGGTCCAGCTCATCGTTCGTCAGGCATAAATCTCCCCAAAACATGTCGGCGGCCTAATGCCACCTGCGTCGCAGACCATTGTGCGCCGTAAGGACGTCTGTTTACATCACCAGTCTCGGCCCCATCCCCCGAGACGGACGGACGGGCCACAGAGCTAGACGTGGCCGGCGTGGTTAGATCTCACGGATGTGTCACCATGTTGACATGGACAGTGGATGCGTGCTGAGCCGTCCATGGGAACTGACTGAGACCGACGACGGAACACCGCTGACCGCCCGCAGCAGGCGGCCCCAGGCCCTGCTGCGTGTAACAGTAAACGGATACGGACCATCGTTAGATAAAATAGCAAATCAATGTGTAAGGCGATTAGCACTTATGCGAAAGAATAAGGAAAATGTGAGATCAAGATTATGCCGGGGAGAAGTAGTGCAGTTTCCCCCACCTGTCCCGCAGTTTTCCGTGACTCAGCCCAGCCCTGAAACCGGGCCATAACTGAACTACAGCCGTGAGCTGGGGATTCTCGGGTTACCTGCCACTGCCCAGGTAACCTAGATAGCGAGGCGTTCGGACCGACGTTTTTATTGCTTAGACGGGCAACTACCGGTAACGCAAAATGGAAGTCGACAGCTTCAAAAAGCTGGCCTTTTAATAACAATTTTAAGCTTCTTTTCGTGGAGCGCTCAAGGGCTCATCCGAGGGATCTTCGAACGCCACAATTTATGATGAACGTTTAGTGGCTTCTGGCCGTCACTGCCGATACGTCAGCAGGCTGTCGTTCTTCCCCGCACAAAACACTCCACGCATCAGTGTATTGGTTTTGGTTTTTGCGGTTGGTTTTACGGCTGCCATCACTGGGCAGTGGCAGACCGAGACCCGTTTGCGGTCGGTGTGACCTTCACTCAATATACCCTGAGTGTGACCTTCCTTAAGTACCGAGACCAGACGCTGTTGCCGAGCTGACGCCGGTACCGGTCCGATGGGGTCGAGAGATGCAGCGAGAGACGGGAGCTGGCCGGGCCGAGCACAGATATAACCAGTAATATTTGCATTTATTACTTTTTTTTAGTTTGCATTTAATGCAAACCTTTATATAGCAAGCATGCACCAATATGTGCATGCTTACTAATGCACACTATGGTGTGGTCCGACCTTTCTAACCCAGTCCCAGTGCATTTATGTGACACACATTGTCTCGTTCATTTCACCTTTTGGACTTTTTATATCATGAAACCCATGAAACCTGATTAGCCTGATCGACAGAAGCGTTCAAACTTTTTTATCTTTTTTGTGCCTACACTTAGGTATTCTAATTCCAGACTGACGTTCGACCTCGGTTGGGTGAGTTTTACATTCTTGTTCGGTGGGAGATTGATTTGAACTATTTAAACGGTCTTTGGACGGGCCGTTTCCAATCGGTAATGACCGTCCAGCGGGGGCTTCCCAACTCTTAGCGGTCACAGAGTAGGTACCTAGTGCCTCGGCCGGCATGGTCGGCGTGCCTATAGGCAGATAGTTAGGGCGGTATGTGTGTAGTTAGGTATGTGGGGAAGGAAAGTGACAGGCCGAAAGAAACGAACCGGCGCGGCGGTCAGATTCCCGGGCTGAAGTCCACAAACCAAACCGACAATGGATATGCCTGGACTCCCGGTCGGCTACGCTTCAGTCATGCTGCAGATCCTCCCGGCATTCTACGCTGCACTGAGTTAGTCGAACGCTCGGACGCGCCGCGTGCTCAACGGTCAGAGGTCAGTGACCAATGGTCAGCGGTCAGAATAGTCAGCAATCAGTGGTCAGAGATCGGCAGTCAGCGATCAGCGCTAAACGGTCAGTGGTCGGCGCTCAACGGTCAGCGGAGGGCGGTTAGCGTCCAGCAGTCAGCGCCCCCAGCGGCCACTCAGAGCCCGACTGTCGGCGCAGCGGCGTCAACCGGTGTGTGCAGTTGTGCACTCTCAGCGGGCGGCCGAGGTCACTGCCGGCCGGCCGGTCCGCCGGTTCGACGCCGCTCCGCCCGGAGCCGGTCCGAGCCCGGCGGACCGGCCGGGAGACCGGGCCGGTCGGTCGGCACACCGACCGCGCCTAATGGCCGTCTAATAGGCGCCACGGGCCGGCCGGCCGCCCCCGAACCCGCCCTGCAACACGGCCCGCGTGACCCACAGAGGTTTTTGTCCGCGGCGCCGCCGGGCAGTTTTTGTGGGAGGGAGGTGAGAGGGCCCGCGGTGAGAATGGCCTGTGACCTGACCGGAGGCGCTGTTTGTGTTGGAGAGAGCAGCGGGTGGGAGCCGCTAATGTCGCGTGTCGTGGTGTTTGTGTCCTCCCGTCAGGTGGGGCAGACCAGCGGCGGCATCAAAATATACAATCTGAATGGTGGCACAAACCGAGGAGACAAGCGACACTAGACCAGAGCGGATCGCATCCGTTCTCACCAACCGCTGGCCACCAGGAGTAGGTATGGCATGAGACCGCGGCATGTACGCACGTATGGAAGGCATATTCCGTTTTCGAAATAAAATAGAGCATCAAATATCAATCAATAATTACAGTTCGGTACATGGATATCAGTCATTAGTGTCATGTCCATTAATTAGCGGTCAGCCGAAACAATCGGCATCTGTCGGTTACCGACCGCAGCCCTGAGGACCACCTGCCGGCAACCAGTACTGCAGAGCCTGGATCTGACATGTTAGTGACCTGGCCCCGGCCGTGCGACGGCGGGGCGGGCCGGGTGCGGTCACAGCTGAGCTGACCGTGTCCGGGGTGTTACGCCTTTCTATGTTGGCCGATAGAGGGCGGGACGCATTGTGACCCTCCCCTCCCCACCCCGGTCTGACATGTTCCCCGTTGAGTTCCCGACCATCACTGGGTTTCGTCGAGACTCATGGCCGGCGGTGGTCGTAGCGGACGTTGTGTTCGGCTTATTCCCGGCGGTTGGCGGAGCGCTCGACACGCCCGGACTAGTGCAAGGAATGCCGGGCAGTGCCGGCCCGCCGTCAGTACCGGCGCTCTCGTGTTTCGGTTCGTGCCGAGCGGCCCGTGCGGCTGTGCCCGGTCAGCCATCACGTCCATCCGACCGGCGCCACCGAATGTTCCGGCTGCTGGCAGGGCGCAGCGGCGGTCTGGAGCAGGGAACGGAACGACTCCGAGCGGCGCCAGACGTGATCTTACACCCGATCCGGCGCCCTCAGTCTACGGGAACACGTTCGCGGCGTGCCTGGTGAGTGGGTACGATTGTTACAGCTCGTGACGAGCGGCGCCGACCGCAGAGGCTCGGTCAGCAGGCCGGGTGCCGCTCGAGACACAGCGAGCTCGTGGCCCGTGCCTGCGGTCTGTGCCGCCGCTGCGGCCCGCACCTGGCGGTGACAGCTGGGCGGCCGGCAGCTGCAGGGTCGGCAGCGCCACATCCGGCACCGGCGAGGTCGGCTCGGACACGTACAGACTCCGCCAGTGTCACCGCGTGTCCGCGGCGGCCGCCCGGCCGCGACACCTGGCACCGTTTTTATCGAGAGGCCCAAATTTGTCACTAGAGCAGAGCCGGACCTGGGAACAAAGAAGGATGTAATACTGTGAAGAGTCTTGGACTTAGCCATGTACGAGTAT